GGTAAGCGTTGGTTGCTGAAGACCTATTCTACCCCGGATCTTCACAGGTCCGATTTGATGGTTCCCCAGTACTTGGAACTTGTGAACAGAGGAGATCTTATGACGTAGTACTCTTCAGCATCTGTCACAAAGACAGCCGACCCCTGACTACTCCTTCATTAAAAATTGTAAACCTTTTATTTCATTAAAACAGGGGAGCTTCATATGAAGTTTGTTAAGAAATCTTGTAAGCCGATGTGTGGGTGTTGTACTGAATGGTCTGGTCTAGGAGTATCTGGAATACTCCGCCCTTTTCCTGATATCGACAATAAAGGACATCACGTGGATGTGTTTGACACACAAAACCCAAATCGTACAGTAGATGATTACCAGTCTCGTGAAGCATCGAGAAAATTACATAAAGCGGGGATTGCCCTCACAAATGAGGATGAGATTAAACACTTTTCAGAGAAGTACACTGAATTACAGTTGTACAGATTTATGTGGACCATCTTTTTGGTTTTGGTTTTGTTGTTTGTTTGTTGTTTAACGCCGCACTCAGCAATATTCCAGCTCTATGACGGTGGTCTGTAAATAATCGAGTCTGAACCAGACAATCCAGTGATTGACATTATGAGCATCGTTCCACCCAATTGGGATACGACGAAGTCAGCCTTACTACCCGATCCCATTAGTCGCCTCTGATGACAAGCATAGTCGCTTTTTACGGCAAGCCTGTGTTGCTGAAGACCTATTCTACCCCGCATCTCCACGGGCCATGTGGACACTATCTACACCATCTGGACCAGATGAAGCGGATGAAGATTGGGAATCGCAGAAAAGAACGAGCAGATCAGTGCAGAGGAGCAAAAAATAATGAAGTAGCCTATTGATTGCATATAGTTGTTTACAAGCTGCGGCGGGATATTGAATTTGTTTGTAAGTACAAAATGAATTAAATGTATATTGAATATTAAAAATATATTAAGAATATATTTTATTTAATACAATATCAAATTTTTCATGCATTATAATATTTGTTACAATATGGTTATATAACAATTATATTACAATATGGTTATATAACAACTATATTACAATATGGTTATATAACAATTATGTTACAATATGGTTATATAACAATTATATTACAATATGGTTATATAACAATTATATTACAATATGGTTATATAACAATTATATTACAATATGGTTATATAACAATTATATTACAATATGGTTATATAACAATTATATTACAATATGGTTATATAACAATTATATTACAATATGGTTATATAACAATTATATTACAATATGGTTATATAACAATTATATTACAATATGGTTATATAACAATTATATTACAATATGGTTATATAACAATTATATTACAATATGGTTATATAACAATTATATTACAATATGGTTATATAACAATTATATTACAATATGGTTATATAACAATTATATTACAATATGGTTATATAACAATTATATTACAATATGGTTATATAACAAATATGCTACATATGATAATCTCTTATGATGTTCGATTTTCGGAAATCCACTTTGTTGGCTGTTTCGAACCCCGGATAAATCAAACTTTTTTCTTGGTCCGCACGAGTTCGACTCAAAGAGGTTCGACTGTACAAAGATCGCAGTTAGAATTTGGATTTTAATTTTGTGAATTCGTATCGAACATACAGTCCTAGACATTCTTTGGAAAACTAGTCTAGAGGATTAGTTTGTAGCTAATTAGTTTGTAGCTTGAATTTGACAAAAAATGTTAATATGTTTAGAGTTTTTTTCAGTTCCAGTTTGAAGCAAAATTGAAGCATTGAGAACAGGTCTATACTTATAGAACTCAAATGATACTTGTCCATGAGGATTATCATCACTGAATGTTTACCTGTCCTCAGCGCAATTTAGTTGTCTCGGGCTAGCGGACTAGCGTGATATTTGGAACTTGACATAATTATAATACTGGTCTACTGGTAGAATAACATTTAGTCCAAGAAATAAAGTTATCTTATTTGAAAAGTCATATCTAAAAAATAATAAATAAAATCCTAATGGAGCCCAGAACAATCTAGGCTTGCCAAATCATTCTAGACTGGGTTGAATATATTTTTTAATATATTCTCGAGGGTCTCGGAGACAGTCTAGTGTACGAGTTATACCACACTTATAACGGTTTGGATTTATAGCAGTCGTGGTTACAAGCTTATAACTCATCGCATAAATATAAAATAATATTATACATATAAACCCTTCACACTGATGCTTACATAAGCGATTCATCATCAGTGGGATTACACCGTCATGGACAATTTCAACACGTCGATAGTACGTCCAATCGTAAGATCGAAATTTACAACGAAACTCATTTATGTATATATTGTATTCGGTCAGAGGTCGACGATCTAATGACGTCGAATGCGCGTCTACGTGTCATGTGATTTAGATATTTCACCTTGCAGTGTTACACACGAACAGTCGGAGATCAGCCGGGTTATGAATGCGATGACGAGAGGGGGGGGGGGGGGGGGGGGGGGGGGGGGGGGGGCGTGCGACGTGATGGTGGTGTCGTGAATACCAGTGTTCTGGTATTTCTCTTCTTTCTGAAAATGAATATTTCATTATCTTGTCACTCAACGTTTTTGTTGTTGGTAGTCTTTTTTTTCTATGCAGTACATACTATTGTACCTACTCATGGTAAAAGGTCCATTCGTTAAACTGCTACTTATATCGTCATTTCCCTTCCAATGGCCGCGACCCGTGAAAATCCGGGTTAGAATTGGTCTTCAGCAACCCATGCTTGTCGTCAGATGAAACAGGCTCGCTGACTTGGTTGATGCATGTCATCGTATCCTAACAGCGTGGTTCGATGCTCATGATGTCAGTCACTGGATTGTCCGGTCCAGACGCGATTATTTTCACAACGCGGTCTCAAAGTTGGACTCAATCATGCGTCTTTAAACAACAAACAAACAAATAAAAATTGCAAATGCAAGAAATAACCATTCTAGATTATTCGCCGAAACGGATAAAAAACCTAACGAGGAACGCCTAAAACCCCACGAACCCCAAGTGATCCTGCTACAACGAATTTTGTCTTTACCGACATGTTTTAATATGACATTTTAAATGAATAAAAACAATTGAGTTGAGGTTAACTTGTGTTATGTCACGTGACATGGAAAAAGCTTGCAGCTTTTTGCTTCGAAGAGGGGTATAAGGGATAACGGCTCAGAAATCCACGTGCATCCTGTTTACTGCGTGGCGGGGTATAAGGGTTTTATTCCCCCGCTGAGAAATATATTTCCCTCCAAAGCGTGATACATGGTATTTTATCAAGATCACGTGAACCAATTAGATCTCATCATTCGGAGATGGAGGTATGTAAAATATTGATGAACTGATGAAAGTTCGCTTTGAAATCAAATAGAATAATAGAACAATAGAATGGTTGAACAACCCCACGTATATAATGCACACACACGTATACACCAATGTACATGGCGAACATTCATCGTAATCCTTAACCTTTAGACACATTCAAACTATTTACGTAAGTTAAAATCAAGAAAATGGAAGTAAATAGGACCTTCGTGTACCGCAAAACAAACGTTTTATGGAGCAAAAAACTATTAAAGTAAAATTTTTTTTATCAAATGTACAAGTATGAGAAAAACCTTTAAATCTCCGCAATGCATTTGTGTTATCGTTCAAGTGTTAAAGGAGCCGGATGTATGCATGGTCAGTGCTACAGCTGAGGTACGTTTAGTTTTGTATTCGATTTTTCAGCACTATTCATCAGTCAAAACCCATTGGTATTCCGGATTGAATATAGGTCCCAGCAAGCCATGCGTGTCGTAGAGGCGACTAAATGGATCCGGCGGTCAGGCTCGGTGACTTGGGTCATTGCATCGAATCCCAAATGCGTGGATCGATGTTTGTGATATCAAATACTGGTTTGTCTGGTCCAGACTCGATTATTTACAGACCGCCGTCATATAGATGGAATATTTCTGAGTGCGGCGTTAAACAACAAACAAGAACACAAATAATGCTAGAGACTCAAATCAGCTCGGAATACTCGATTATTTATAATTACAGACCATCATTTTACAGCTGGAATATTGTTGACCTCGGCGTAAAACGACAAACAAACAAATAAACAACATCAATAAAAAACGAATGGACAACGGTGTGGTAATCTGACTTCAGCACATGATACAACAATAGAACCCGTGTTTCTTCAAATACATTCCTTAATCACAGCCGACTATTCACGTCAAAAGTTTAAAAAAATCATTCTAAACCATTCTGCCTCTTATATTTAAAAAAGACTTAAGTTGTTCGAGAACAAGTAAACATAAGTACATTACTACAATAAGCGTCTAACCATGTTCGACCTAACGGATTAGCCTGCGTTGTGCGGTGCCCTACATTCACCATCAGATGCAATCTATTTTCTTCAAGTTTAGGGTGAAGAGAAGGGCAAATATGTTATACGCCGCAACGACACTGATGAATGACAAAGCCTTTAACGTAATATTGTATCAGGTACACCGTACATGTTCCGTCTACAACACAACACGTTTCGCGTGGACATGTCAAGATATTACCTACAAGTGTTCTTAAGGCATTAAACCAATTCCACAAACGCCAAAGATATAAATAACCAAAACCGATCTCTTATTACGATCCCAAGGAGACATGTCCATTGTATTCACAACAAATATGGATGTCCAAAAAACCTTCCTGTCATCTGGTTCAACTCTAAAAGACAAGTTACATAACACAACAACTGTATCGGCCCGCCATGTCATGTGATTTGCTCTGACTGTACCCTTGTGTGTCGACAAGACTTTCAGCTATAGCCTTCCACCAATTTGACGTCTGCTTGGTGACGTCTGCGAGGTGACGTCTCCTCATCTCAGCAATGACGGATCACCGTACATCAATCTCGTGACGTACGTGTCCTTCGCGAGATTTATGTGCGCCACCTAGGAGGTGTAACTGTGTTAAAACTCCCTCCTCCTCAGTTCGGCAAGATCCACAAACCATGGCGGGCTCATCAAAATCTCTTCTTCCACCCGCGTCAATGTTTTTGCTTGTATGGATTCTTTCGTTCTGCTTACTGTCCTGCAATGGCCAAGCACCCGCACAGCCCACTCTGGTAAGTCCTGTCTTAATGTTGCATTCATGTTTCAGCTTTGTGGACCGCTGGTTCGTCGTTGACCAATTTTTTAAAAACAAAATCTTGGATGAAATGAACAGGAAGATAAGGTTTCTTTGTACCTTTGTACAAAAACAACAAGGTGCTGTTTAAATTAATATAATATATGCTACACAACGTTTAATACGGATCAGATATGATATTCTATATATATACACTTGACATTATCATAAAAATCAGTTTTTTTTACAAAAACAACAAGGTGCTGTTTAAATTAATATCAATATATGCTACACAACGTTTAATACGGATCAGATATGATATTCTATATATATACACTTGACATTATCATAAAAATCAGTTTTGTGTATAATGAAAAGATAGAAAGAATGAAAGAATATATTTCGCGTGTGGTTGATGTGGAGACTATGATTGATCTTGCGTTATTATTTTAACAGCAAGGACTGCGTTAGTTTACGTTCTAGATCTGCTATGTTCTCGTTGTCCCGATTCTACCTGGTACCCACTAATGGCAGTGTAACATCCTGTACATACCAATTTACACACATCAAACACACGTATTAACAACAGGAAATTGTATTCCGTATTCTAGCACATTGGTTATAAAAACCTTGTGCCGAATATGATTCGTAATTCATAACCCACAGTTACAGCTTAACACCAAGACGTTTTGTGATTACATATGATAAATTTCTGATAACGTCCTCAAAGGTTCGGATCAGTTACTATTTTCCGCATACGATTAAGTCTCGTGCCAGTAGCTCCTCTTTTCCCTTGTTCTACACATTCAAAACGGAGGGGAAAAACTGTTTTTGTAAGTCAACAAAATCTTCTCACTTGAAAAAGATAAGCTTAAAGCGGAACAACAGCTTTAAGGTTGGGGAGAATGGGCGCTTCAGGGTACAATCAGAACGACGGCCCGTATCGCTGTTAGGTCTTCAGGTGACACGTCTAATACCCACAGTTTCTGGTAAAAGGAAAAATGACTAATACTTACCGGGTGAAACATCCGAGGGGTTAAACATGTCATCTTAAATATGACTATTTCACAAATACAGAGACGTCTTTGGCGAAACGAGATTTACGATGCGCACATGCGTCGCCATACACCCGTACACGTGTCATTCCTTAAGATTGATCTTCAGCGGTTAAATAACTCCTGCCTTTCTGCTATATACTAATAATCCTATATAATAGGAAAGTGAGTGAGTGAGTTAATATTTAACGTCACATCGGCAATATTTCAGCCATGTCGAGACGAGTAAATTGGAAAATCTTCAGAGACACCAAACAATAAGCATGTGCATATTGTTACCTAACCATCAAAGATCTGTATCATTTCTTCTTTATATGTCTATCCTTAGAAGATATTCGATAGCAATACATAAGAATAACTCAACCTTAAGTGCAACAATTTAATAGCAACCAAAAATGAAGTTTAAAGGCTGTCATAATATTTCAAGTATGTCTGCTTTTAGCACAGATTTCTATTGAATATGGAAAGGGTTTTGTCGCTTTTATTCAAAAGCAAAAATGTTCTTCAAGGGAGTATGTGAATCTATTTGTAACATTATGCTACACTGTATAGAATGTCCTTCGTGTATGTGGCCCTATGACCTGACATACACTAAACATTTAAATTAACTACGTCACTTTATTAAGTTCCGTCAGTCTAGTTTCAAAGTAACAGAGTGACACTGTATGATCACACGACGTAGACAGAATCGTTGTTGTCCCCCAGGTTGTGCGTGGATGATGTTTGGTCACGACGAGCCATAAACTTGACGGCATGTTGTGTATGGTCGGCTGAATGTAATACCACGATTAATATCTGTCAGCATTGTAATCATACACGGTGACTTAGCGCCAGGCTATGTCCGTAGGGAAGGGAGACTCCTAGTTGTGCCCCCAATGTACCAGGGGGCAGATTGTGCTTGGATGTGCTCGGATGTTTCGGCATCGTAAGCTGTGCGTACCTGTCTGTTACATATGCCCTCTTCCTACACTGCTGCTCCACGTGTTGCCACTGTATCGTAGGACTTGTAGGACGATAGGTAGTTGAAGTGGACTATCTCTGTGTTCATCACTGTTCATTTTATTACAATGACTACAACTACTGCTGCTACTACTACTGCTACTACTACTGCTACTACTACTGCTGCTACTTATACTTCTACTACTGCCGCTACTACTACTATTACTGCTGCTGCTTTTGACTATGACAGCCACGTTATTTTACATTGTGAAGCGCTGATATCAGAAAGAAATGCGTTTTTCTCTTCTCACATTGACGTACTTGACGTTCAAAAATATGTTGATTTTGAAATGCAAGATGAAACAGATATGTTATCAGTTTTAATTGGGGCTGAAACAAAATTTACTCACAATCTGGATCAACACACCTGGGAAACTATTATACTTCAGTTCTCCTCGTATCTGTACAAACTAAGGCATCTTTTGATATATATCTTCTAGTGAAAATCTTTCATCATTTAGGTATCTGAATTTGATAAACTGTGTGTAATTGTAAATATGTTATGCCTTTTTTTATTGTGTTAACTGCGTGTAATTGAATATATTTTCATTGTAATCTTCGGAATGGCATCTGGAGGAAATAAAGAATCTCTCTCTCTCTACTACTACTACTACTACTACTACTGCTACTACTACTACTACTACTACTACTACTACTGCTACTACTTCTGCTGCTTCCACTACTGTTGCTCCCACTTCAACACCACTGCTACCACTGCTGGAATTTTCCTGAGTGTGGCGTTAAACAACAAACAAACAAACAAACAAATACTACTGCTATTGCTACAGTAACTACTATTTCATGACAAATGAATTTACTACGTCTTCATATTCTAACTACCATTGTTACAGCAACAGCTGTAGCACCCCCCCCCCCCCCCCCCCCACACACACCCCCCCCCCCCCCCCCCCCCCCCACACACACACACACACACACACCAAGCTAACACCACGCGATATACATGTAACTGAAACACAGTTAAAAGCAGATTCACCATTACTAAATTATCCGAATTATGGTCCTCTCTTTTCCCCTCAGTCATGATATATTTCCGACAATGTCAACACTGCGAGGCCCTTATGCTCAGCAGTCTGACAATTATAGCTCCCTTCAGCCCGGCCCATACTCCGACCTGCCGGGGCCCAAGTAGAAGACGGCAAGTTTTGTCCCAAGGTGGAGCACATTATTTTACATGACAGTTTTATTGTGAGGCGGAAATATATATGGCTTGGCTAGTTACACCACAGCGTTGTGAATATCATCGCAGGGATTTTTAGGGTATTACATAGGAGAAGACGTCAGAGTCTATATATTATCATCTATATGGGTCAACTGGTTGCTTGTTATGTTTGTTTGTTTTGTTTGTTTGTTGTTTAGTCAATACTGATGGGTTTGTTTGTGTTTGTTGTTTAACGCCGCACTCAGCAATATTCCAGTTTTATGTCAGCGGTCTGTAAATAATCGTGTCTGGAGCAGTCAGTCCAGTGATTGACATCATGAGCATCGATCCACGCAATTTGGATCAATGACATGCATCAACCAAGTCAGCGAGCCTGACCACCCGATCCCGTTTGTCGCCTCTTACGACAAGGATAGTCGCCTTTTACGGCAAGCATGGGTTTCTGAAGACCTATCCCTGATCTTCACTGGGTTGTTTGCGATGGAAACATAAACGCTGTTATGATTAAGTAGAGACGGGGTCGAGATTGCCGAAACTACCCTTCCGTTCTCCATATCTAAACACAGACTGAAAAAACAAATAATCAAATTGATGCAGAATTCTAGTTTATATTTTCTTTTGCATCTATTGTTTGACTTAATTAAAAAGATTGGAATTTCAGATTTCATACAAAATCATATTCGCAACCATAACCATTTTTGGCATACAATAAGAGTATGATAAAAAAACACACCGAAAAACCTACAGTTTATAAACCCGAATTTGGCGAAGAAAGTTTACTGTCGATGAATAGTCTTTGAGTACATTAAGGTGAATAGTTACAAACATTCAAGTGAAATATCCTTCCATTCCGGGCCATCTCCGTGTATGGTTGCTGTGCCCTGTCCGTGAAATATTACGTCGCGGTCATTGCTGACTGTTCAGTGTCAAACCTCGCCATGTCGTCGATGCATCATCACCTGGGCGGCAGGCTATTCCTGGAACAATACATGCCGGTGTTTCTTTTTTGCTTGTAGGCAAAAACACTCATTAAGTTAATGTTAAGTTAAGTTACATAGGAGAACACAGTGAATATGTTATCATGATTCTAAATCTAACATGGTAGTTTGAATTAGGACTATTCTTGATGTTATTATTCATTATTGTCTCTTTCCGATTTTTTCTCGATCCCTATTTCTTTCAAGAAGGTACGACCGCCTCCGTGGTCTAGTGGTAGAGCGTCCGCCCGGAGAGCGGAAGGTCCGGGGTTCGATCCCCGGCCGCGTCACACCAAAGATGTTTAAAGATGGTAATTGTTGTTACCTTGTCTGGCGCTCGGCATTAAGGGGCTAAAACAAAGATTGGTCGGCTCGGAGTCGGTATGCTGTGTTTGAGTGGGGTATTCATGTTAAACTGAGGCATAGTATTTCACTGGGCTTGCACTATAAATCGGCATCAGTCCGGACTAGTACAAGCAGCCACACACACACGTGCATGCACGTGGCTATAAACGTGTAATACTCCATTTCACCTCTCCCCACCTTCAAGAAGCCACCATAATACATGTTAGTGACACAGAATGTGGCAATATAGGCTACATAACGTGTTACTTAGTGACGGTTTTGGTGTACAGTTAAAAGTAGTTTGTATAGCAAAGGGTTAGGGTACTGTACTCGTATAAACTTTTCAAAAAATGAAATTATGATTAATAAATTTTATGGGAAACAACAACAACAACAACAACGGCTACTACTACTACTACTACTACTACTACTACTACTGGTC